TGTCATTGCAATGCTTAGTATGTAATCTAGAACTGAAGTAGATTTGTCTTGCATTTCGATGACTCAATTTTAATGGAATACATAAAATGGAATTGATGATTTTCTCTTTTTATTGTTGAATTCTCTTTCCATTGGCAGGATTCATTCTAGATAAATTACATAAGAAAAAAAGCAGCCTTAGGCCAGAGACATTTTCATTAAGAAGATTTATTGTATGATTTGAATCTTCTCTCTTTTTATTATTTGTAACTTCTTTTTCATTTTTATACCAGCCTGTTGTGTTTGCATTCATGGACACAGTTATAATGTCATGAACCATTATACACAGATACATAAATGAACTATTAATAAATCTGTATAATTGATAATCTTATTTATAATTCAGCTATGTATTCACCTGCATCCAACTTCTATTCAACAATATACCTGTAAATTATAATGGTGAAAGCAAAATGGGGAATCAGGAGTGTACGCAAACTCAGTTCTCCTTGTTCATATTACTTCTATTCTTGATGTCTGTTGAAAACAATAAAGCGAACAAAATTAAACTGTTGAAAAAGGTATACAACGAGCTGATTCTGTTGAAACCTGTGAATATAGAACACCCCATATTGGATTATATTGTTCCTTATAGAGAGGTGTGCCATATAGAGAGCACACCTCTTCAGGTAAGTTGATGGAACTTTGCCCTTCTGAAAACTGTTCCATATAGAGAGGCATTTCATCTGACAGGTTTTATTATGTATGAGATCCAAGTATATTCCAGCAAATGTCTGGTCCCCCACTAGCACTGCTAATCTGGTTAGGGAGGGGGGGGGACAGGGGCCTGATGCAAGACTATTGAGCCCTGTACTGTTTTTTCTGTACTGTTTTTTGAAGGAATATACTGGTTTAACAGTGATTTTGATCAACCTTGCAGAGTTGTAGAAATAAGAATTAGTCTGAGAGTGAGAATTATTGCATATGTTCATCATGATAAACCATGACATCTCATTTCTTCTCAGCCCTGAGATGTTTCAGGTGAAACAGAAAGATGCTATGAGTATCAGAATGGCATATGTTACTATCTGAGTGGCCATGTGACTGATTATGAGAATTACACAATTGTTAATTGCTTGTGATTTTACTACGGTTTAGCATATTTACCTTGTCTGCTTGAAATTTTACTCTCTTCTGTCACACTGAGCCCATATAACCTTGATCGTCAGAGCCTAGTAATATCGGAAAAGCCTTCTTTAAAAACATAAACTTGTGGAAAGGGTAAGCTATCACTGCATCTCTGGGAATACTTTGCTAGAGTCAAGATGGAAAATGGCAGTATATCTCAAAACATGTAGGATTTTGTACAACATTAACTTTTGACATGTTAAACACTTGATAAAAACATTAGCCCTTTTGCATTCTTTGCACCACCTCCCCTATTGAGAATTACCATGGTAACCAGTATGTTTGGGGTCTACTTTTATTGTACTCAAAGTATCTTGATTAATCAAAGAGAATGTTTTATTTAAGGGTCTGCTATGAGTGTGCAGCCAGGTAGACCTACTTTAAATTGTTTTAAAGACTCATTGAATTTAACAAGTTTATGTTTTCGTTTTCATTTGTTGTCATGGCAACCATGTAAGGTGTGTCACGGCATAATGGTCCCCACTTGACTGGTCCATTTGGTGCGGAAGTTTTAGCGTAAATTTACACAGGCGCAGTGGAGTGTTCAATAGCGGCTCAAGAGTTTAAAAGGTCTCTCTAATAGAAGATATAATGTCACTTGTGCAATCGTGAAAATATTGACTTCTGGATGAAATCCATATTCCTGGCCAGGGTGTGTGAACTGTAGACAAAAATATGTATTTTTATGAGCTTTATTGATGCTATAACGGTGATTGATTTAAGTTTTAAAGTATTTAGTAACGGGAAGGCAATCTCGTCAATTAGCTAATCTGCTATTGTTTTAGAGTATAATTAACTTCCATTAAAAAGGTTAGACATTATTTACATGGTTGTTGACTTGGGTCTAAACATATCGGAGTTCTATACATCAGGAAATATCTTTGAATAAAAGGAAAAACCAGCCCTCATCATGTAGTATGAGTTTATTGGGTGGTATTATAGCTAATGCAAGGGGCTATATAGTGTTCAACACCTATAAAGGGTCTTGGTACAGGCCTGTAGCCAGCTTTTGCCAGGGGGATTCACATTTAACAATCCCCCCTGGCTTAACGGGCCTGTGGTATGTTTTGATCTTGTCAGTATTAAGAAAAATATCAACATTCTATGTTAGTATATATCAATAGATACGTTTAATGATTTATGGTCCAAGTACTGGAAATATTTGCAAACCAGAATGAAGTGTTTTTGTCAGAGGGCAGAGTGCTGACCAATATTAGCACAGGGTATATAACATTAAAGCCAATGGTTTTAACAGTCCTTGGAATTGACAAGCATAACATTGCAATAAAGGTTATGTAATGCTACTTTCATTTGTCTGGAGAGTAGATCTATTTAGAAACACTACTTGGAGTATAGATTTGTATGAAATGATGCGAAGAAATAGGAATTTCAGTCATGATGTGATTTTATGATTTTGTGATTTTTTAATTTTTTCTTACATTTAAAATGCTCTTTATATTATCCTGCGGGGTTTCATTAACAGCGATTTTATGTTGCTGTTTAAGAATTTTTCAATTATATTCATGTTAAAATAGATACTTTCAATAATTCTGTAATTTTCATTCATTCATTCTTGTTGTTAGAAATATAAATGATACCTATAGATGTGTCAGTCCTGTTTGATTTTATATAACACATTCATTTCGTAAATATCATCATGATATTTAATTATGATTTGATAATCCAGAAGAAAATAAATCACATTATTTACAATTTTATTTAAAAAGATTCATCCTGTATATGCGATCAATCAATAGATTGGGATTAATAAATAAAAAATACATAAAAATAATGCATGTCCACGAGACTGTAATTTGTATTTACATTCTAACCACAGCCTAGATCAATGGCCTTGCTTAACTCCCTTCGGGATAAACATTTATGAAAAATGCTCCTTTTAACCCTGGTTGTATTAATATTTTATATTGAGAGGCACCTCTGAGAATTGACTCATTAGTTTGTGTACCTTGGGAGCGATTGTGCCGTTAGTTTGAAAGATAGCCTCCCCTTAAACACAATTTTAGAACATTCACCAATTGTACATTTTTGTGCTTTTGTGTGAATTATGATATTGACTATTTCGTGATGTTTTTTTTGGCTGAATTGTTGATTTATAATTGTAATTGATGTCGAGTATTGTAGGACTCGTCCTTGATCCATGCTCTCTGATGTTAAGTGTTGTATTCCAACATATGTTTTTTTTCCATTGATGTTCATTCCATTCATGAAATTACATGTTCTAACATTACCTATAGTATACTTTTTTGTCAAAGTTGGTCTTAGTTCTTTGTAAGATAGGTTTGAGCTAAAATATTAGAACTTTTGTATGTATGGTTTTATGTAAGCCATGCCTCCAAAATGCCATGACACCACCAGTGTGCCATGTTTCTATGACATCATCAGTTAGCCATGACATCACCAATATGTCATGTCTCTATGACATCATCAGTGATGCTTGACATCATCAGTGTGTCATGTCTCTATGACATCATAGTAAGCCATGGTATGAAATCACCCTTGTAAAGTGATGTTTTCAAGAATATCCAACTGGGCAATGTTCCAGGCTGTTAGTTTGCCTTTTACAGAAGTCTGTTGGGAATGTAAGAAAACTCTGACCAATATGATGCTTTTGTTTTACAAATTAAGAGCTTACTAAGAGAGCAATTTAATCTTGTTTCCTGAGGAAATTTAATCGTAGAAATTGGTATATCGCTTTATATTTTTAGGGGGATCTGATGATTCATATCTCAAGATTTTATTATTATTTAGATATATACATACTGTGTACATGTTCATGTTCATGTTCGGGGTGTTATAGTTTATAAGTATAAGTCATAGTTCTTAAAAAGGATTAATCCTTGTTCGCTGAGCCCCCTGGGTACCAACCTCATCAAAATCTGTTCGTCGTTAATGAGCTGTGTGGCATTGTGGGAAATATCAGCACTAAGTTAATCATTTTAAAGTCCCCAAGAAGCAGCTGTCAAAAATTGATGGAAACTGATTTGGAATGAGTTTTTTTCTTCCTGTGCAAGGATTATCTAAAATCTAGTTTATTATCCAGCTTTTTTTGTCGTCACCAAAGAGCTTTTTGTTAATATTCAGAATTGTTGAGTTCTCGTATGATATTTCACTTTACAATTTCTCTATGTTTTTGTGACTTTTTTCCACATCCATGTATTTGTAAAACAAACTGGTAGTATTTGTAAGGTGAAATTGAAATTGTGAATCATAGATGACTTGGTTAAGAATGGTAATTTGGAAGAACTGCATGTGATTCAATCTTCGAATCAAAATTGTGCATGTTAGAATCTGTCATCTTCCTACATCTTGACCATTGTTCTGCAGCTGCTTTTCAAATATGAAACACACACAAGAGAGGACTAGTACTTGAAGATCTGATTAGTTTTGATCAATATTACTTTAAGGTGTTCATTTTATGGTAAACAGTGTATGCCCTAAGGATTCCAGAGCTGCTGGTCAAAAAGGCATTACTGACCAGTTGCAATGTTATTTTCCTATACCTAGTGAAAAAATCAACTGGTCAGTATCAAAAGTAACCCGATAATGACCAGCTGTCCGACGCTTAAGGCGTGCCCTGATGGTAAAGCAAGGCATTAATATGCAAATTGTCACCACTTGCCATTTGTTACAGATGCTGAATAGTGAACACCAACTGCCAAACACCAACCACCAAATGCCATCTCCAAAAAAAGTTGGAGACTATAACAATATGTCACCACTTCTGGTGTTGACATAATAGCAGGCTGAATGTTGCATTCTGGAATCAGATGTATTGCAAAGTTTTATTAAATGTTTTGTTTGTGTATTTTCAGTTAAACCATACATATATCAACAACAATAGATTAGAGGATGCTGAAAAATCCATACAAACTATACACAAAATTCCAAATAACTCGTTACAAAAATTACAAAATCTGCAACCACCAGTAGGCATTGAGAGTTTGTCGCCACGGTTATACTCACCAAGGTCACCAAGGTCACCAATAACAAACGGACCAATGATATCTCCTCACATACCCAGGGACCCACAACATAGTGATATAAAAAATATTGTAAGTTATGATTTTTCTCTTTTATGTTAAAGAAATCTTGGGTTCAATCCCTACCGGGTTAGACTAACTTTCATATAAAATCTTAGCATAGGATATCATTCAGTATTTTCAATACATAAACCATGTATCTTATACCATTTTATGAAGTAAATCGAGAGGCTTTCCTCAAAACCTGTTACCCCAACCCATCCTTAAATACCACCTAGATAATGTAGCTAATGGGGGGAGGGGTTCTATATACTGTTCTTGATGTAATACTACAAATCAATGAAAATGTACAGCACGCCTTTAGAATATAATTCAAATCTATCTCTGAAAATCAGAGTAGTCTAACTGATAACTTGTGATTCAGTAGATGCTCCTGGGATTACAGATTCAGATCTTCCAATCAATAAAATGATTTATATCTTGTTCCATAGGGAGTAAGTCTTATTAATACACTTTCCCTTGTCGATATCTTTGACATATCGGTCATTTTTCCATCAGAAAATTGAGTTTTGAATCTCTAATAAACACCATTTGATGAATGATATGATTTGCTGATGAAACCACCGTCGTGATTGTCTCCATTTTCATGAGATATTAAGAGAAAGAGAATATTTGAAATGAGGAGCTGAGAAAATTATAAAATACATTTCGCTATTACAGTACATATACAGACAAATAGAGAAATTCAGAATAGTAGTTGAATGTAAAGAGGGAGAAATATGGGAATCATTAAGAACAAAATTATAATGTGATACTCTCATACAAAAATTGCATCATTAATATTCTCCAACCATTTTGTAAATTAACATTTTAAAGCTCAAGATTTAAAAACAAAATTGTTTATATTTATTTATTTATTTATTTATTATATGGTCAACATTTTACTGCTGAAGATAATCATGCCAGAATGTTAATTAAGTAAATCCATTGTCGTGAAAATAAATCGCAAGAAAAAGGTAGCGCCGCAAACGGGTATTATATATGTTTTCCACATGCTGAAAAGGGAGAATGACAAATTAAAAGTTATTTTTGTTTTCAGCATATTTTTAAAGATTTTCAGTCTCATAACATTTTCAATGTTTAGGTTCAAGAATAACAACTAAAGCCTAGAATACTTCAGAAAACAAATTTATTCAAAATAAAAGTTTTAAGCATTCTGTTTGAGTCTTATCATTAAAGTTCAAGTGTTTATAAAACATCATGAAAACCGTAAAATGGCTCATAATCTGAAATCTCAATAACGGGCCTACGATCGCTACTTGAAGTCCGCTAAACAATAGCCGCTAATCCTGGAAAGTGTTGTAGTGATCACACATAGGCACTTCAGAGGCCCTTTGAGTATACAAAATACTCTTTACGGGCGATAATATGACGTTTAATATTCCAGTTAGGCTAAATTTGATATTTCTCATTCGACTTAATCCAATTTGCTGTGAATGGCTGTTTGCACTGCAAATAAAGTCTCATTTAGAAGATTATTAGCGATCTGTCCTTCTCCTATTTTTACATATAAAACTCGTCAATCCAGCTGTTTTTAATTCATGCAACTTCTATGTAAAATAGAATTTTGGATTGACTTTGACGTCAATTATATGTGTAGCTGACTTTTGGGTAATTTCTCTGTTTTTCAATCATGTTGATTTTAAACACAATCCCCAATGATGAATTCATACATTGGCTTGTCATTGAGGGTTATGTCTATGCGGAGCTCTGCAATGGAGAAGTGATATCATTCTCAGTGTTAGTGTGATTTGATTGTCTTTTTACAGACTAATGAAATTTGAATCTGCATCCTGGTCTAATGTTCCATTGTAGGATCATCTCATATTGAAGCCTATTACAAATTAAGTATTTTTATGATACGATTTGTTGAGAATCAGCGTTACTGATTTTTATTTTTCATTTCAGCTAGAACACAAGATAAAATTGAGACCTTGCGAAGGATGAAAGCACTTTGCACTTAATACCCAAAATATATTGAAATTGAAAAATTGGGAATTGGCGCAGTTCGTCACACAAGCACACTAGTTCTATATCCAGTATTAGCCTCAATCGAAGAAGTCAGGTTTTAAATCATACATGACTAGACCCACAAAATGAAGAGCTCTTTTGAAAAGTTATAAACTCCCAAGGAGCATGCTCCATAAATACAACTCTAAATTTTGTCTCTTTTTGTTACTTGTAGGTTGGTAGTATACATTCAGGGACTGGAAGAACCTACTTAGCAGAAAATAAAAATAATGTGAGTAGAAAACCTTTTGACTTTTATGTAAAAAGCCATGATGGAGGAATAGCATGCTCTGATTGGCTCGTCGAATTCAAATGTATGTCACACATTGGCTTGTTTTAAGAGGGGGAGATGAAGTTTGCTTTTTCAAAGGGTTCAGTTCAGTCCCCTTATCTTACATACCTAAAAATGGCAGGCTAGGCAGGCCCGTAGCCAGAATTTTCCAAGGGGGTTCACTTTTCCAAAAAACTAGGGGAAGGGGTTCACATTGGCAAAAAATCATTAAAAAATAGTCAGAATGGTGAAAAACTGCATGATTTTGAAAGAAATTTTGGCCAGGGGGGGGGAGGGTTCGCCCGAACCTCTTGAACCCCCCCTGGCTACGGGCCTGCTAGGATTGTCTCATTGGTTCAAGTTTGTAAGAGTTGGAGATGAAGTTCTCTTGCTGAGGGTATAATATCATGTCTCTGTCCCTTATATGTCTATCTAAACACCTAGTAGTGAGTTTATGATACATAGGCAGCTAGATATATTGGATACATATATACATATTTGCTTGGCCTTCTATTGTACATATTACTAATCTGTCTGGAACACTACACAGTAGTGCATTATCCATAGTGGATTATCCTCTGATAATCTCTATTTATCCTAGACTATCAATCTGCCCTTGCATAGGAAAATATCGTAAATTCCTTTTTTTATTGGATTTTTCCTTGAATTAGATAGTGTCTGATATTGCTAATGAAAACTGGATTTATCACATATGCGGTTTAATGTTCTCTCCTTTTCCACTGTATTCCTTGTTTTTATGCCAAGGAAAACATGACATGATAGTACCATACTGTTTCACATATTTGTATCTATAATGTTTTGATAAAGGATATTATAGATATGGATGGATACTTTGGTTAAATACTTTATGTGAATTTTCTATTTTTTTATATACCCAGGTAGATTACCTGTCCAGACACCTTACCTGTGATACACCTGTTATCAGCTATCACCTGTAATCTAATATGAGTTTCTATACAGAAATATTGCTAGTAGCTCATTTGTGAACATTCAAGGTTGAGGAATTCCAAGAGACTGATACAGTGAAATCTGTATATCCGTACTCCTTTTTAAACTGAATATCTTGGAATTATTTGAACATTTGATAATCTAAACGCTTTTAATCAGTCTCAGTGGTGTTCCACTCAGGCAGGTTTTACATTATCAACATCAAACTTCTGGTTCGTACCATGCTGTATATTATCAACATCAAACTTCACATATTTGTTGTGCTTATCAATTCATCGTGAGTTGAATACCCATAATATTTTCTAAAGGGTATGTACATATAGTTAAGAAGATTATATAGAAAGTTGACCATGAAGGGTGTAATAAAACATAATAGAATTGATCTGATGCCTAAATATATACCACATGATCTATAACATGTAATTCTCTTATTGTCTTGCTTATTTATAGCTGGTATTTAGTTATATAATAGTAATACAGTAGGTGGCATTTCTGGCAAACCAACCTAATCTTTGACTTTATATTGCTGACAACCCTTTGCAAGACCTGGACTACACTAGACTCTGAAAATATGATGTATGATGCTCTTGCTATACCCTATTTCTTCACCCATCCCAGTGATCTCCTTAGCATTAAAGCAAGTGGGTGCAGCACCCACCTGAAATTTTTTGAAAACAGGCTTGTACCAACCTGGAAATCCATTTGTACTTTAAAATGAGAAAAATCATGAAAAATTGGCATCTTTTGACCAATTTTTGGGTCTGAATTGTGAAAATGAGAATTTTGCACCTACTTGAAAAAAAATCCTGGGGAGATCACTGCATCCCTCTCATTCTGTTGAGACTTGATCTGACAACCCAATCTTTTATTGTCATAATGGCAGCAAGGTACTAGCTCTACATTACATAACAAGAGCTACATGTTATACCTGGAAGTCTAAGTACAATATATTCTTACTCGTACTACCCTCAATTGCCTACGCCCCCACCCCTCCTATTTATGCAGAATTAAAAGCCTGACCAGCTCTTGGCAACCAAATCCTCTACAGTCATAATAGCGGCAAGGTACAAACTCTCTATGATATTTACCGAGTGCTACGGCTTGCTTGTAAGTAGTCCTTGATGCCACTTCACTTTCATATCCCTCCACTTCACATACGCCAACAAAATTAAAATTTTCCCATTTTCTTGAGTAGTGCTTGATAAGTTTGACATGTTTGACAGTGGTACCCCTAATCGCCTAGTCACTCTGAAGTGAGCCTTGCCAACGCTTACATTAAATGTCATTTCAGTCATGTCTATCAGATATCCTTACACTTAGATAAATTAGGACCAACTATACAATTTCCTGATTTACATCAAGACATTGGGGTAATATATTTGTTTCATTTAGTGTTATTTCGTGGGAGATTTGATGTGATTTTTACAAAATTTGCAATCATTGTTGATGTTTTTATTCATGGGTAAGTTCCAAGGGTTTTATCAAGATGTAAGATCTGTCAGGTACAGTTGTCATATTCTCAATGTTAATGTATAGATTTGTAATAAAATCATGATGTAAATCAAGTTGTATGTCATATGTATGGGAGACTGTGAATATATAGGTCTATGCATTATATCTTGAACTTATGATATTGATAACGTCAAGATATAATTATGTTTCAAGGATTTTAGGATTGAGATATTAGGCCAGGAAAAATAATAAATTCTTGGTTCTGGACACCAAAGTAAAATAATTTAAGGCTATACAGTTGGCCTGTTTTCGAAGTCGTGTATTTATCAGTCATGTTATTGTATAGTATATTGTGTGATTAAATGTTTGTTTAAATAAATTTAATGAAATTGAATTTTTCCCAGCCCTAGATTTTACAAGGTATTAATATTGCTTTTGGATGTAATCTTGTTCAATGTCCCCTATTTTTTATATTTACTTTTTCTAAGACTCTCTGATGTCCTTGGCATTCACATAATACATGCTCCCAAAAGGTCAACGATCAACCTTGAAATAAACTTGACCTCTGTAAGTTGTATAGCGACTTAATGAATCAAACGTTTTCATTACGACAAGAACATACACAGTGCGTTACCAGACTCCAAGTAGAGAACTTCAAATGGATAGTTACTGGGAATCGACAATTTAAACATCTCAAGATTTGAGTCATTTACCATCAATAATATAAAACTTAGGGACAATTTATGAAAAAACATGACGAGGCACGTTGCTTACACACAAATCATATCAAAATGCAATAAAATTGTATAATTCTACCAAATATTACGAAATAAGCGTAGGAATCCATGACCACATGTAAATATTTTGGAGAGGAACTGTACGTTTATATGGATATTCAGGATTAATGCATCAACTTGAGTGGCATAAAGTGGCGGCAATTTTAGCTGATAGTTTGTCGTTCAGCAGAGACTAATCAACAACTTGAAAACTTCACATATTTTCTCAGCGTTACCCCGCTACCAGGTAATTTTCGATATGCACTTGTGATATAAGGTTTATAATAAAGGGGTGAGGTGGTAAAGAGTGGGGGGGGGGGTATTAGGGTTCACCATATAAGGACCATAGTCTTGCATCAATCTCTGATCATCCCCAATCTATTTGCTAACCCAAATATGGGAGAGAGAGAACACCTAGCCTGATGTAAGATTGAGTTAAATCATTTGCTATTCTAAAAAATTGAGAAATTAAAAAAATTTCATGCCTTTTGATGTTACGATTGTAATCATAGGTCTGTGATCCATTGTATTTGATATGATTTTGAAAGTATTAATAAAAGTAGGAAGGTATATCTGACACAACCTTTTCAGATTTAATGCATCGAGGCTAGGAGATTGTTATAATCAGTGGCATCACGCTTGCTGATCTTAATTATATTTTAATTTCATGTAATTCAAATCTTTTACAATGTATGAACATTTGAGAGGCAAAAACGACTTCCTGGTGACCGATTGTACAGAGTCGAGTAATAACATCATATTTCATTGGTTCCTCTAACAGCCAATTTAACAAGTGAAACTAAACGCCTCCGGCCACAATCAAACCCACAATTTTATTGCGTTATGGAAACAGCATTATGATATTTTGTAGCAATTGAATAAAGAAAATTGACAATTGATTGTGTTATCATCATCAGATTATTTAGGCCTTTGCCCTTCCGAGAAAAGAAATGAAACATGTTTATTTTCATTTTTTTTATTTTTATTTGTTTTTTTTATTCTTTCATTGTCATGATATAAATCACACGAAAGTTAGATATTTGACACTACCTTGATGTTATTGACACAATTTGTTGACATATTTGTAGATTTTCTTCATTTTTGAGAGAGATAATTTTCTCAAATCATGTGTTACAGTGTAACACAAGCATCTAATTTTTGTGAAATGAAATCACTATAATCTTCACCCATTTAATATTTAGCTGAGCTGTAGAATTAGCGTTTATTGGTGATTAGCTCGTAATCATAGGTCTTCTCATGGCATCATGTAATTACGTGGCAGTTTGATTTTTGCCCTCATATAAAAAATTACCCTGCAAAAAATTGCATCAGTACAACTGAAAAACAGTTATTTGTAATCAAAGTCATGAGACAGTGGTTTTATAGAAAGAAGCAAACCCAAAAACAATATTCACTGATAAAATTGAATCCAACATCATATCATATAATTAATAATATAATAAAATACAAAAAAACATAATATTACAAAAAAGATAACAAATTTAAAAAAATCTTCAAATTTAAATTTTCTTATTGTACAGATAGACAATAAAGGATGGTGTTGATTATATATTAGAGTGTGCCTGGTTGACCCTGTCTGAGGGGCTCACCACGGTAGTCTAGTTTCCGATAGCTCACTATGATAATGCACAAGATGGTAATAACAACTTACTAATAACTTAACATACATCACTCGACACGTCGTGTGAAGTTATGCTAACAAACGCAACATGTTGAGAGTCCTAAAGTATTGTCTAGTGACCT